AGGTAGGAGGAAACTGAAAATCAGAGAGGCGAGTTCACTTACCGAAGGTCACACAGCAAGCAATTCCACACAGCAAGGTGACAGAGTCAAATTTGAACCCATTTCTGTGGTCCAGCCTTTGGCTTTTAATCACTGTATTACCCTGGCCAAGGTGGGAGACAGCATGTGAGGCGACCAGTAGGGAGGGAGTCTTAGCTGAGTGACTGGATGATAGCGAATCGCTGTAGGTGTTGTGTTGCGCTGGTTACATTTATTGAGACCTTATTGGGTGCCAGGCTGTCATGATAATGACGATGCCACATGCTCCTATGGCACTTAGTGGGCCCCACTGTAAGTGCTGTTATGCGGATCGGTCCCCTTACTCCTTGCACCAGCGCTCTGAGGTGGGTACCACCATTGTCTCCATGAGGCCCAAGGTGGAAGCATGTGCAGAACTCGTGGAGGAGCTGGGATTTGGTGCCAGGCTGTCCTTTTGCTCTCGAACTTCCCATTATCCCTTAAAGTCCTCACAACAGCCCTATAGCGTAGGAAGAATTATTACCATTTTACAGATGAGGAAACTGAGACCCAGACTTGCACTCACCCACAGAACCACAGACTTGTGCTATTGTCTGTCTGAGCAGCTCACCCACCCTTGACCCTGTACTTCTCTGGCAGGAGACCAGGAATGTCAAAGAGCCTCTGAAGGGCCTGGGCCAGGCTCCCAGGGCCCGGGGCCCTGTCCCATCCTGAGATCCCAGGCTCCCTGCCCTTCCTGTCTTGCTCCCTGCTTTTTCCTTTGGCTTATAAGGTGCTGGGTAGGCCAGGTTTCAGCATCGCAGGCAAGAAACAAGGACGGGCTGCACTGGGGCCAAACACGAGTCCGCAAAGAGGAGGCCACGCGCTGGTTCCAGACGTGTGATGGGATCATCCTTCCTGGCCAGAATTCCCCTTTCTACACAAAAGGCCAAAAAGCTAATTTCAGCGAAATGTGCCGATTGGTAAGCACTCAATGTGTATTACAAGAATTGTCTCTTTTCTCTTGCATTACACTTTTGGTTTTGTTTGTTTGCTGCTAAATTTGTATACAATTCGATAGATCCTATTTATTTTATAGATCAAGATCTCCAGCCTCGTGGGAAATCGAACTCCTAGGAAGTGGTAGTGCGGTGGCAGGCTCTCTGCCCTCCCTTCCCCTCCTAGGCTTATCCTTCTAGGGCAGTGGTTCTCAACCTTCCTAATGCCGCGGCCCTTTAATACTGTTCCTCATGTTGTGGTGACCCCCAATTTCATTGTTACAAATTGAACATAATTAAAGCATAGTGATTAATCACAAAACAATATGTAATTGTATGTGTGTTTTCCGATGGTCTTAGGCGACCCCTGTGAAAGGGTCGTTCGACCCCAAAAGGGGTCGCGACCCACAGGCTGGTGACCCAAAGGTTGAGAATCTTGTCAGTTTGTAAGCACTCTTTTCCTTTCTAGCTATTTTCCCCAAGTCTTTGCACATTGCCTTGCAATGTATTGTGTGGTGTTTTTTTAAAATTGATTTTCTGGAGAGAGAAGGGAAAGGGAGAGAGAAAGAGAAACATAGATGTGAGAGCAAACATAGATTGGCTGCCTCCTGCGTGCCCCCCACAGGGGACTGAACCTACAGCCCCATAGTCCCTCCCCCCCCGAACTCAGACCCAGCAGCAAGCTAACCTACTGACTGGAGCGCCTGCCCCGGTGGCCAGGGCATGTCAAGGTGACTGGCTGACCAGTGACTCTCAGGGACTGGAACCAGCAGCTTTCCCTGCACCGGACCAGGCCCAACCACTGAGCCACACCCACCAGCGGGCCTTGCAAGGTTTTCCTTCTTTGCTTTTTATAAATAGATATTTCTATTGGTTTCAGAGAAGAAGGGAGAGAGAAGATAGAAACGTCAATGGTGAGAGTGAATCACTGATCGGCTGCCGTCTGCAGGACCCCCAGCCTGCACCTGGCCATGTGCCTTGACCTGCAATCCAACTGTGACCTCCTGGTTCATAGGCCCACGCTCAACCACTGAGTCACACTGGCCGGGCTGTAATGGCTTTAAGTGTTACACAATAGGCCTATCTCCTATTTCACAGGTTCTGGCTTCTGAACTTGGTCAGGAAGACCTCCCACTCCTGAGTGAAGGCGCTCTTCCCTGTCCCTCCTCCTGCACCCCCTTCACCCCGCCCCCCGGCCCACATCTCCAGCTTCTACTTTCCCAAGGTCTTGAGACCTGCCCCGCCTGAAGGCCCACCCCCCCTCCTCTTCCCCCTCCCTCAGCCTCTCCTGTTGAAGGAGGTGGGGTGAGGGGGGGTGTTTCATTCCTGGTCAGTTTGGAAGAGCTCTTCCTGCCCAACCTATTAACTCTCTTCCCTTCTGTGCTACAGGGACCGACCCTCTGTGTATTGACATAAGCTGCTACGTTTCATACCAATATGTCCATCCTGCATTTCTCCTGTGGGTTTGAGACCTGGACTAGAAAGGGCTCCTAGCTCCCCCTCTGCCTCCCTCGCAGAGTCCTAATCTCGCAGCTTGTCCTTTCCCACGGGTCAGGAGCATAAAAGCGCGCAGGGGCGCAGCCCTGCAGTGTCACCATGGCCCCGCTGTGCCCACTGCTGCTGGCGCTCGCCCTGGTGGCCATCCCCAGTGTCCGAGGCGCCTGCCCGGTAGCCGCTGACCTCAAGAACCCCAATGGGACACGGACGTGCGCCAAGGTCTATGACAAGAGCGACCCATATTATGAGAACTGCTGCCAAGGTGCGGAGCTGACCATAGAGACAGACAGCGACTTGCCCTTCCTGCCCTATGAATGGAGGAACATCATCTCCTCACTTGTGGTGGCCCCCCGCTGTGAGCTCACGGTGTGGTCCCGAAGAGGCAAGGGTGGCAAAACTCGCAAGTTCAAGACGGGCACCTACCCGCGCCTTGAAGAGTACCGCAGGGGCATCTTTGGCCACTGGTCCAACGCCATCGCCTCCATCTACTGCAGGTGCCCTCCTGTCCCCGTGCCAGTGCGCACATCCGCTTCCACAGCACAGAACCCAGCCCCACCACCACCCCCACCTTCAGTTTGCCCAGACCCCTGAGTCCCTGACCCAAATTGGGAATCCCTAGACCCATCCTGGAGGCCCCTTCTCACCCGCATCCCTCCCCCAAGCCCACGCCCCTTAGGTCGCTCAGACCAGTTCTGGGATTCTGACACTCAGAAGTGACGCAAACCCCCTTCCATTTAGGGAGCACTCGCAACCTTCCTGAACCCCCACCTACCTACCCACAGCTACACTGTCCAGGGAGGGCCACTAACTCCTGAGCTGCCCAGTCTAGCTTGGGATGTGGAGCCATTGACCCCCTCACCCTGGAGTCCCAGAACCAAAGCCAGTTCTTCCCTCTCCCCAAATCGTCAGATCTCAGAGCTGCCTCGGGCCTCCCAGACTCTACATCTGACCCAGACCTCAAGACCCCAGACTCATATCTGGGGACACCCTGTCTGGCCCTTATGCTCCCTAACCACTCACACCCTCTAGGATGGCCTCAAGACCAGGACCCAGTCCCAGCATCCTTGGGAAGGTTCTGGAGCATTTGGAGCCCTGAGCCCACGCTGCACTCACATATGCAAACTCACGGACTTGGGACCCTAAGTCTCGCCACAGTAGCCTCCAAAACCACCACACCCGCTCCCCAAGAGCTCCAGGAGCCCCCTGCTCCTGAAGTGGGAGCCCAGCCCAGCCCATCCCACCCTTATTTCAGAATCTAGAACTCCCCAAGCCATAGATCTTTGAGCCCGTGGCACTTCCTGGTGATAAGTTTTTATTCTGTTGCAGGTGCTACTGATGCCTTAGAGGCCCCTCATCTCCAGCCCCTACAGAATGAGGAGTCCTCCACCCAGCCTTGTCCCTGGGGCCTGCTGAGGGCCCCAAGTCCCAAACAAGAGAGCTTTCTCCCTGCCCCCTTCCCACCCTGCTTTCCCTGCAATACAGTCCTTATGAAGTTGCCCCTGTCTGCCATCTGCTTGTGCTTGGGACCCAAGACCACCCTGATGGGGAGACAGCAGGGTGGTCATGCCAGGATCAGCCCTATCTGGGGCAGTGCTGTGATTGGGGATGCACCCTTAGATTCTGACATGGATTTAGGTGTGCACAAAGACACACGCCCACAGGAAGCATGTGTGGCATGCAATGGCACCGCTGCTGATAATTAGACATTGACATGCTTCCCAGACCTTTTGGTGCACAGCCCTTCCCTGAGTGATCCCAGCTGCTCTGACCTGCCAGGGACCTCCAGTCTCAGGATTCATGCATGAGACAGCAGGAGGCCTTCAAGGACCAGCCAAGGCCAGGCCAGGGTCTGTTGTGAGATCAGGCCAGAGCCTAGGACTTATGGGTTGTTCAGTCCTTCAACCCTCCCCCCCCTACACATGGAAGACACTTTAGTGCCAATTTGTATACTGCTGCAAATGTGACTTGGCAACCTATTCTCACCCCCACCCCCAGGGATGGCGCCTTTGATGGATACCTGGGTTTGGGGGCTCTTAGGAGAAGGTAAAGAAGAGAATTGTGGGTGTTGGGGAAGGAAAGATATGGGGACAGCTCACGGGGAAGGACAACTTGGGGTTGGATGGAGGAGGAGAATTCGGGGGGATTCTGAGAGCTAAGAAATGTGGGGGAAAGAGGTAGATGGAGATGCTAAAAGACCATAAGGTGGGGGTATGTGAACAGATCAGAGGTCAAGGGAGGCGTCGGTGGTGGAGGAGGTATGAGGTGCTGGAGGATCACAGAGCAGAGGGTGTGCGAGTGGGCTGGGAGCTCAGCGAAGTTCTAAGGAGCAAAGATGGCAAAATACTCAGAATCCTTGGGCACAGGTGTTTACTGGTTTAGTCAACAAGGGTTTATTGAGCACTTACTATCTGTCGAGCACTGCCTCGGGAAGACATGGTCCCTGCCCTCCTGGAGCCCCGAGAGTGCAGGGGAAATGCCAAAGATTCAGAAGTTCTGGGGGCGGGGGGGGGGGGGGGGGGGAGGGGGGGCGGGAGGGCGATGAAGTCAGACACTCAGGATGAGACAAGGGGTCAAAACAGCCAGTCACTCCCTGAACTGCACAGACACGGAGGAGTCAGTCACCCTTGTTCGCCGCAGCCCACCAGCCTCCATGCGGTTCTTTGTCTTGTGCAGGAAGTGGACAAAACGCACACCAGGGCCATACTGGCGGAATACGTGGGACACCTGTGGCAGCAGCGGGTCAGAAAGAAGTCCTTATTAGGGACCTATGGGCTCGGCTCTCCCTCCTCCTCCCTCTGTGAGGTCTTGGGACGGGTCTGGGTTGGCAGCTGGGGCAGGGAGTCTCACCTGGACCCAGCGGCCAGGAGGGCCCCTCCCAGAGGTCCGGGGGACCACATGGTGCTGAGCAATGATGGTGTGTCGGTCAGCTGCCAGCAGCCAGACGTGCAACTCATAGACACACACGTCCAGCCGGCTGTCCTCAAACCTGGGGGTGGGGGGAAGGCCTTCAGCTGCCACCTCAGACCCAACATCCCCACCCCAATGTCTTGCCCCAATCACCATTTAGCACCACTCACTGACACCCCCCTGTGCCCCTGGACTGGCTGGTGCTGGCAACACAGCCCCTGCCCCACCTCTTGGGATTCATAGTCCAGCGGGGAGGCAGTGACCAGCAGGAATAGTCAGGACCAGCATGGGGGCTGGTCAGGGAAGGCTTCCCGGTGGAGCCATGTGTAACTGACTTTTGAAGGACAAGGACAAATCGTCCTGAGAAAGACAAGCATCTGAAGAGGAAAGAACAGCCTTGGTCCTGGCACATTTCAAAACCTGAAGGTGTCGGAGAGAAGGGGCCACAGAGGTGGGCAGGGCTGGGTCCTGCAGGGACAGGAGAATCCTGGTGGGAGGCTCAGACCAAAGGGGAGGGTGGGGCGGGGTTGTGCTTTGGGGAGCCCCTGTGTGCACCCTGGTGGGGGGAGGCACGTACCAGTCCATGATAGTAATGTTTGGCTGCTCGTCATCAAGAAGCTCCTCCCACAGGCCCTCGGCCAGCAGATCCACACACTGATGCTTCACCGTCCAGCTGTGAGAGAGGGCACAGGGGAGGCGGGCTCTGGGATCTGCTGGCATTCTTGGGCATCTCCCAGGTCAGCCTGACCACAGGGAGCAGAAAACCTGATCACAGCACCCTCATATCCAGGGGACCCCGGTATGGGCGCTGGGCCCTCACTGGGCACCTTATAGTCTCAGTTCCCATCACCCTCTTGGCAGGCGATGCATTCTGAACCCTGTGTTGAGGTGGGGAAACTGAGGCTCAAGAAGGGAAGTGAGTTCCCCAATGTCAAGTACAAAGAAGCTCTGGCCCAGGGTGACTCTGAGCCCCTGAGTTACACCATCTTACCCACTGCCCAGAAGCGGGGCTCAGATTCTCGGGGCCTGGGGACTCGCCTCCTCCCAGGGGAAGGGCTCAGCAGAGGAACAATAATAGCTGCTACTTGTGAACACCTACTATGTGTCAGCCAGACCTGGCCAAAGCCTGTGCTGTGTGTTAGGGGCATTCTCTGGGCAGGTGACTAACTCTGTGTTTACAGAGCAAGAAACTGAGGCCCAGAGAGGCAAAGTCATTTTCTCCAGGTCCCACAGCAAGGAAGGCTGGAGGAGGGAATCCATCGCAGGCCCGGGCCTGGCCACTCACCTGCAGCTGTGCTGGAGCTGCTCTGTCCTAATGTACCACCCACGGAAGTTACCTGCCAGGTGGAGGAGCAAAGGGTTAGAAAGCACAGAGTGGCGGGTGCCCTCCCCTGGGGACCAGCCCCCAAGCACTCACCCAGCATCTCCAGGGGCTGCCAAGTGGGGCCAGTATGGGGCGCTGGCTCATAAATATTGATGCCTGAAATGGGCAGGTGATACACAGGGCCTCAGGACTGCTGGAGCTGCCCCTGTCCACCCTCTCCCTGCACCCTACCCCCAGGGCCCCTCTGAAGGGCAGGAAGCTGTGCCACCCACCAGGCAGACTAGTCTGGCAGGGGTGAGTGAGCCATGGCCCAGGGAGAGCCCTGAGAATGTCCTGGGGGAGAGGGACCAGGTGCGTTCTGGTGAGGCAGAGACAGAGGGACAGGGAGGCACCAAGAAAAAGGCACTTAGAATACAGGCAGAGGGAGGAGGGAGGAGCGGGGGCGGGGGGGGGGGGGGGGGGGACGGGGAGCAGGAGGAAGGGAGTGAGCTGGGGTGACAAGAGACACAGGGAGAGCTAGAGACACATGGCACAGAAGGAGACAGAGGCAGGGATACAAGGCAGGACAGAGCCTCAAGCGGACAGACAGGGGTACAAATAACAGAGACAAAGGCACAGAAACAGGGATAGAGAGACAAGGGAACTGATGTAAGAAGAGCAGAAGGTCTGGGTAAGCAGCGCTGGGGAAGAAGCTGGGGCACGGGCACCTTCGGGGTTGGGCGAGCGCAGGAGGTTACCATAGAGCGGCTGCCGCAGGAAGAGCAGTTTTGGGTGTGGGTGGGTGGCTGGGAGGTGCTTAGGGGAACATGTTGGTGAGCAGGACCTTGCTCCTGCATGTCTTGGGTGTGGAGGAATCATCCTGTGGCAGAGGATTCAGGGCATCGGCGAATGACACCCATTGATGGCATGGCCTCCATCACTGACATTCAGCAAAGCTCCTCAAGTGTCAGGATCTGGGATTTCTCTGGGAACCAGGCAACCATGGACCTTGGCAGACGCATTCCCTCTCGCAACATCAGCCACACTTAGAGTACTGAATATTAAGGAGGGATCTGGGATGTCTATTTGATGCAGGGGGTCCCGCGGGTGTGGGCCGACGGAGCCCTAACGAAGCATGCCGACGCCGGATACCAGGTTCATTGACGCAGATCTAAGTTTATTGTGTAAGTGCAGCAGTATATATAACATTTTGGACCAATCAGAAGTTTACACAATCCTTAGGGCAGCCAATAGCAGGAAAGATCAGGGTACTATGTAGGGGCTCTAGGAGGTTTACTCAGGCTGGCGCTGCGACTTCCCGGTGTGCCGAGGAAGCTTGTACAGGCGGAGTGTGCTCACGCCACTGCATCCGCCACTGCACTGAGATAAATCTCCTGAGCTCTTCCCACATCTATTGGGCCCAAATTGTATTTCTCAGTGATGGTCACAGCAATACCTCCCTCCCACATGCTCTGCTGCAATGTGACTGCCACTCCACCATCCAGAGGAAGTCGTATTTTCACCATCCCCTTGAATCTGGGCATGGCCAAGACGCCTTGGACCAATAGAACACAGTGTCAGTTCCGGGCTTAGCCATTAACCAGCCTTCAGATTTCACTTCTGGACCCTTAAACACTGCTCTGGGGGCCGCCAGCCCCATGTAAGAAGTTCATCTACTCAAGGACTGTGGTGCTGTGAAAAGTCTGAGTCACATGGAGAAGCAACAGCCCGGCTCTGCTCCCAGGAGACAGGCAGCTATGGAGTGAGCCCCCACTGACACCCACCCCACTGACATCGAACTGTGACCCGGGGAGAGACCCCTAGTGACAATCACTCACCTGAGGGTGAGCAGGACACAGAGGCAGGTGAGGCAGGGACGGTGTGAGGGTGCTGGCTAACCCCCCATGGATAACAATGACAAACTCTGGGCAAACGGGTTTTGAAAACACAACTATTCGAAGGCACTGGAGAGCGACCAGAAGCAGGCAGAATCTTTTAAAGAACAGACCAAGGTGTGAGACTAAGTTTATATGGCTTTTCCTCTGTGTAGGGAGCGGCTACAAGGTTAAGCCTTGGACTGACCTATTGGCAAAGCCACAAACAAGTCCCAGCTTAGAGGGCACAGCCCTCCTGGCATAATTAGGCTTGACCTTATGACACTCCCTAGATCCTTCCTAAAGAGATAATGGGCTGTGGCAGGCGAAGCAAGTGCTGCCAAAACAAGTGAAACTCACAAGAACATTGTAACTATGGTGACCCTTACCTTGTTTACCTCTGGCTATAAAATAAAGGCTCAGCTTGCCTTCTGGGTCTCTCTCTGTGTGGCCTTAGCCAGGCACAGGAGATGCACCTAGACCCAGCTTATTCTCTTTGTCTTTTCTTTTCTTCTCTTTTTTTAAATATATTTTATTGATTCTTTACAAAGAGGAAGGGAGAGGAATAGAGAGTTAGAAACATCGATGAGAGAGACACATCAATCAGCTGCCTCCTACACCCTCCCCCCCACCCCCACAGGGGATGTGACCGCAACCAAGGCACATGCCCTTGACTGGAATCGAACCTGGGACCCTTCAGTCTCCAGGCTGATGCTCTATCCACTGAGCCAAACCAGTCAGGGCTCTTTGTCTTTTCTAAATCCTACACCGTCCCTCCTCAGGCTCACTGTACCCTTCGCTGTGCTGGCCCGGCACACCTCTGGGCACAGGCCTCTGTCATGTAGCAAGGGGCAGTGTGAACTCAAGCAGAAAACCAGTCATTGACTCAGGTTAGCAGACACCAGAGCTGGGGCTGCGAGGTCAGTCGGAAATTGAGAGGAGAGAGCCCATCATGGAGGGAGCCCTAGAGAAACAGGATCAAATTCAATGTCCTGAAAGAAAAAAGTAAGCTCTCAACACAGGACGCTGTAGCCACTGCACATGTCCCAGACACTGAAGGCAAAGCGAGCTGGCTGCTAGCACTTCTGTCATTCAGCAAGAAAGGAGACAGGTGACGAGGAGGGCATGGCATGTCTTTTAAAGGAACAGCTCAAAAGGGGCTCAGGTCACTTTCACTCGTGTGTATGGGCCACAACTTAGTGCCACAGGTGCAGGGACGGTGAAGAATGTTGTTTTAGTGGAACACTCTTGAATCCACTTCAAGTCCGGGGTTCTCCAAGTGAAGGAAGAAGAGGAGAAGAGGCATAGAGAGCCCTGGCTGGAGTCTCTGCCACTCCGGCTTTGTGGGCGGTCACATGATTGTGTGGTGACTGGAGCTGTGGCGCCCCCATTTCGGTCATGAGGGGAGACAGTACTAATACACTGAGGATGGAGCACCAGCCAGAGATAAAGAGCCTGGACCCACTATGGCAGCCTGTCCTCTAGGGCAGCACTGTTCAAATCCAAATATTATGTGAGCCACGTGTGTCATTTAACATTTTCTAGCAGCCACATTTCATAAGTGAAGAGAAATGTGTGAAATTACTTTTACATATATTTTATTTGACCCAATATATTAAAAATATTATTGTTTCAACATGTAATCAACATGAAACGTATTATTAGTGAGATTTTACTTTTTTTTACAGTGAAGAAAAAATCTGTACATCCATCTATTTCCTAGCTTTGTCCATAGAGAGTGGGTAGAAGCAACAATATTCCTGTCACAATCAGCCCTCCTAGCACCCAGATCACGATTTTTTAATACTGTCTCCACGAAGAGGAACCAGAGCTCCTTGAAGAAAAGGCTGGTTACAGAGCTGAGGCGGGGATAGTACAAGGTGAGCCTGCAACATCTTATTCCAGAAAGCAAGAGGTGCTCAAAGGATGAGGGGACACACGGAAAGGGCTTAGGAGCCATCTTGAAAGGGTTCCCATTGGCCTAATTGAGGACAGTTCGAGCATCAACTGAAGTTATAGCAAAGGATTATAATGCACTGAATGAAATAAGAATTCAGTAGTCCATGCTGTTATAAATCAATTAGCAAATACATGCATGACGGAGGGAAGCACAGCTCTTCCTAAGAGTAGAATACCAATGAATAATGCGAGAAGAAGGATGAAGTTATTTGACAACTGACATAATATAAACATTCAGGCTGTGGGCTCTGAGCACCCATATGTCCCCCCTCTGTCTGAGACCCTTTGACACCACCAATGGACGCTAAAATGAATGGGTTGCAGTTTGAGAAGTAACAGGTATTTGCATAGTCTCAAAGTCCTCCACATATTTATTATAAAGAGAAAAATAGTAGTTTTACAGAGGAGAAACTTGGCAGACACCGTCTAAACATTTTTTAAAAATAAAATCTATTCCAATTCCAGTGTCTATTTTATACATAGAGCACAGCTCAACCCGCACTAGCGACATTTCAGTGCTGAGCTCCATGTGGCCTGTGGAGCAGGTTCAATAATGTAGCTCTAAATGGACCCTGCTGTCTACACTTCTCATCACGTGCAATGATGAGTGTTGTTATAAGGCACTTTTATTTCATGTGATTTACATACAACAGAAGGCATCTAAGTGATCCACTCACATACCCACGAAGAAACCACACACGCACACAATCACTCACGTTCTGTGGTGGGAGAATAGTGGCCCCAACGCCCAGCCCAAACCCTGGAACCCTGAATCTCTTATGTGACCTGGCAAAAGGACCTCGCAGAGGTAACTGAGCTTTATAGATGTGAAAAGGGGGAGGTTGTCCTGGATTATCCCCGTGAGCCCCGTCTAAACACCGAGTCCTTAAAAGCAGAGAACTTGCTCCAGCTGAAGGCAGAACAGAAATGTGGCAGAAGGAGCAGTCAGAGGGATTCCAGGCGTGAGAAGGATGTGACCCGTGGCTGCAGGCTCTGAGATGTAGGTCCATGTGCGAGGACCAGTGAGAGGCTGGCAGGAGCTGCGGACGGACAGACACTTTCTGCCAGCGGGAACGGGAACCTCAGTGTTACCACTGCAGGGAAGAGAATTCTGCCAACAGCTTGACTGAGCTTGGAGGTGGACCCTTCCTCCCAAGGCCTCCCTAGCAGAATCCCAGCAGCCACACTTGGACTTCAGCCCTGTGAGACCCCTGGCAGAGAAAGAGGCTGGCCACCCAGAGCTCTCATCTATGGAGCTGTGAGATACTAAACTTGTGTGGTCTGAGGATGCAAAGTTTGGGAAACCTTGTTATGGCGGCGAGAGAAAACTAATCCGCACAATCATACCCACAGCCCCACAGCACAGGAAACATTCTTTTCTTATCATTTACGAACAATTCTTACAAAAAGTAGAAAAATAAATATTTTCCAGGTCTGAGTTTGACAATTCACACACATAAATACATAAATAGTGGTTGGGTGGCAATAAATTAAGAAACGTGAGGGATGCATAAATAAAACCCAAGATGCTGGGACAGGAGGCAGGTCACACACACAGGTCTCCATCAGCGACACATCTCAGGTCACGGACGAGGAGGCGGAAGAGGTTGGATACGACAGAGGCTTCAAGGCAGCCACGGGATTCCTGTGGAGAGGAAAGGACAGGTCAGTGGCCGTTCATCATCTGGGCCCCAAGTTGTCCCCAGAAACTGGTCCTGCCCCAGTCACTCACCTTTTCCTCAGCCTCCTGGAGGCGGTGCAGCCATTGGCGGAGGAGGCCCTGGGGCCTGAGGCCTGCTGTGGACTGAGCTGGGACCTGTGGGCAAAGGAGGGTGGTGAGTGAACAGGGTCTCAGACACATGGGGACATACAGGTGGTCAGAGCCCACAGACGTGGCCTGGGAGCCCAGAGCACTCACACAGGCCTGAAGCTTGGAGTGGATGTGGCGCAGCATGTGAAGGGGCTGGTCCAGGATGTCCCGCAGGGTCGAGTTAGCCACGTTCCCCAGGACCTTCAGTGTCAGGGCCAGCTCAGCCTCCAAGGCCACAGGGCGCTCCCACACCTGAGCAGGGAGACAGACAGGTGAGAGAGAACAGGTGAGGAGGGCAGAGGAAGGAACAGGTGAGGGCAGGAGACAGGAGAGAGGGAAGGTCAATGTGAGCAGGTGAGGAGAAGAGGTCAGGGCGACTGCTGGGGAGGGCAAAGACACAGAGAACAGTGAGAAGGAGAAGGTGAAGGGGTCACCTAAGAAGCCAGAGGAGCGGGGCCGGGTGAGGGCAGGGCTGGGCCTGAGTCTCCCAACTCACCTGCAGCTGCCTCAGGTCCCGGGTCCTGGGGAGCGGGCGGGAGCCGCAGCTCCGGTTCCTCTGCAGGAGGGACTCTTCCTGGAGAGCAAGGGCAGAGGTCAGCCACAGCTGGGGGGCTGGAGGTTGACCCCGCAGTGGGCTTGGAGGATGGCTAGCAACAGGAGCAGGGGGCTAACGTCCTAAAGGATGGTAGAGGCATCTCCAGTGCAGAAGAGCAAGAGTCAGCCCCCAAAGCAAGAGCAGGAGGTAGACCATGTGTGAAGGGTGCAGGTTAGCCCAGGGAAGGAAGGGAACAGGCCCACCTTGAGCCAAATGGGGCTGTGACCCACAGAGGGAAGGGTGGAGGGTAGCCCACAGCATGGGGGTGGGGGGAGGCAGGTGAGAGGGAGGAAGACTCACCAAGGCGTCCTTGGCCCTCCTGAAGGCCTTCATCTCTTGTGGGGGCAGAGACTTGAACTGGGCCATGTTGCAGCCCCTTGCACCCAGGGGGGTCGGGAGGGGCGTGGTGACGGGAACTGCTCCTGTGCTGGTCAGCACCGTGGTCATCAGCATCAGCACCAGCGCACAACACACAGCCAAGTCTGTGTTAGGGAAGGATGGGCAGATGAGGGGACAGAGTGTCAGGGGCTGTGGGTGGGGGCTGTGGCGAGTGAGGGTCGTGGACAATGATGTGGAGGCTCACCCAGCTTCATCCTGGTCTCTGGTCTCTGGTCTCTATTCCAAGTGGGGACCCAAGTGTCCTCTCAGAGTTTGTCTCCTGGGTCTCACTCAGCCTTGTGTGGTGTCTCTGGCCTCAGTCTCCTCTTCCAGGTCTCAGCCCGCTGCTCGGTCTGTGTGCCTGAACTTCCAGTTAGGCAGCGATGCAATTCCTCACTGAGCTCCATGGTGCAGCTTTTAGCCTGCACAGGCGTGCAATCCCAGCTGATGAAGGAAAAATGAAAACACACCTGCCACTAGGGGAGGCCCCAGGCTGGGGAAGTCGGTGCAGGGCGGGGCCATGGGCCAGGTGAGCAGCTGGAGTGGAAACAGAAAGTGACACACACTCAGGCTCACCTACAGGAGGTGAGGTCCCAAGAGGAATCTCAGGATAAGGGCAGCCTCAGCCCCACAAAGAGGGGTTGCCTTTCTGCAGGACACCCCGGTGCAGGGAGAGGAGGAGGAAAGCACCTCCAGGGTTGTTGCCCCTTATGAGAAGGGAGCTGTCAAGGGAGGAGAGAAGACAAAGGGAGAAGGCTGGGAGGGGATGGTATGGGGGAGGGTGTATGGGAGAGTGGGCAACACAAAGCAGCCCAGAGTTAAGAGATCAGCTCTTCCCTCCCTTCCCCCACCAGGGGCTGTGAGTTTCTTTCTCTTGCTGCTTTTAAGAGTCTCTCTTTGTCTTTTGCTCTTGGCATTTTAATGATGATGTGTCTTGGTGTGGTCCTCTGTGGATTCCTTTTGTTTGGGGTTCTCCGTGCTTCCTGGACTTGTAAGTCTATTTCTTTCACCAGGTAGGGGAAGTTTTCTGTCATTTCTTCAAATAGGTTTTCAATATCTTGGTCTCTCTCATCTTCTGGCACCCCTATAATTCTGATGTTGGTACGCTTGAAGCTGTCCCAGAGGCTCCTTACACTATCTTCGTATTTTCGGATCCTTTTTTCATTTTACTTTTCCGGTTGGGTGTTTTTAGCTTCTTCGCATTTCAAATCTTTGCCTTGATTCTTGCGCTCCTCTGGTCTGCTGTTGGGAGTCTGTATAATATTCGTTATTTTAGTCCGTGTATGTTTAATTACTAGTTGGTTCTTTATCATAACATCGACGGTCTCATTGGATTTGTTGAGGATCTCAATAACTTTATCGGCGGCTTCTAGACAGTTCTTGAGAGACCTTAAAAGTGTGGTTCTGAACTGAATATCCTCCATTGACAGTTTTGTCCTGTTTCTTTGTCTCCCCATTTTTTATGCTAAGAAAGCACATAATCTTGTTAAGGAGCCTGTAATCCAATCCCTGCCTTGCATTCTCCCACTTTCAGGTAATCTTCTTTGAATTTACTTCTTAGTTACAAATGCATAAGAGAAACTGCAAAACTGCCGTTCTTCCTAGCATTTGAGATCTTGCTCCCCGGCATATGTGGCCTGTTCGGCTCAAATAAACTCATTAAAATCCTCTACAGGTTCCGATGTTTCTCACATGAACATTTACCGGGTGCAGTCAGCAGGGTTTTGAAGAAGCCCACCCTGTGGACCCGGACCTGGAGTTAGAGATAAGCAAGGGCCCATGGTGCCCACTGGCTCCCTGCTTCGTGTTGGGTGAACTTGGGGGAGTCTCTCTCGGAACTGTGGGCCTCCTTGCTGTAAGTAGCAGACCATGGCTTTACTTGAGCTGTTCTTAGAAAATCTTCGAGGTGGATAAGGGTTGAGATGAAAAAGGAAATAAAAGATCGAAAATAACACGTGCTCAAGTTTAAGAGCAACTGGACTGGGAGCTCTGTGAGGGCAGGACCTGGGCTCTCTTGGTTACACTGTGTCCACTGCCATGCAGTTCAGGGCCTGGCACAGAGCAGGTACTCAGTAGATGTTTATTGAATAAATAGATGAAATACATTCAGAGGACGTTTCTTGATGATGACTGGGGTCCCCTGTTTACCCTGGATATTGTTGGACATTCATCCCTAGAACTTCTGACTCAGTAGGACTGGGTGGGGCCCAGCACCTGCATTTCTAAGGAGTCCCCAGGGGATGCTGATGCTGCTGGTTGAGGGACCACACTTGGAGGACCACTGTTTCCAAGCCACACAGTTATGGCTGCCTTGGAGGATCATGCTAATCCCATTGAAATAACCCCATGCAGGGACATCCTTGCACAAGTGTGAGTACTGAGTTCTGATGAGCCAGCATGAACTTAAGCACTGATCTGAATATCTATCTATATAAAAGCCTAAGCGACCATCACAACTGAATGGACAACCAAACAGGCTACGTGGGCAACCAGGCCAGCAGGGGGTTAGTGAGGGGCGACCAAACGACCGAGCAGCAGGCTGCAAAGATGGAGGTGCCCACAGCCAATAATAAGGGAATATGCTAACTGACTTCCCCACCCTCAAAGATGGCAGTGCTCACAGCCAATAAGGAGGGCATATGCTAATTGACTGCCATGCTCTCAAAGATGGCGGCGCCAGAGCCACAAGATGGCAGGCAGGGGAGGGCAGTTGAGGGGGACCAGGCCTGCACGGGAGGGCAGTTAGGGGCGATCGGGCTGGCAGGGAAGGGCAGTTGGGGGCCATCTGGCCAACAGGGAAGCAGTTAGGCATTGATCAGTCCCTCAGGGAGTGGTTAAGGCGTGATCAGGCTGGCAGGCAGAAGCAGTTAGGGGCAATCAGGCAGGCAGGTGAGCAGTTCTGAGCCAGCAGTCTTGGATTGTGAGAGGGATGTCCGACTGCCAGTTTAGGCCTGATCCCCCATTCAGACATCCTGCAAGGGGTCCCAGATTGGAGAGGGTGCAGGCTGGGCTGAGGGACACCCACCCTCCAATGCACAAATTTTGTGCACTGGGCCTCTAGTTTTCCTATGTTTATGCAACAGACAGCATTTTCATTTAAATTAATGCCACCTATCATGTTTATGCTCAGGTACCCTGATTGAAACTAGTACTTTCTTTTTTCATCTAGTGGCAATTTCACATATATACCCACCTCCTTTGTTTGGTGAAAAATGTCAGATCAAGAATTTTTTTTTCTTATTATATGAATCAAAATATATCAGGGGAGAAAAACAAAACCCAAACCAGGGTATTCTTCCCACTGCATTCCCAGAGTCCTTTGCAATACCTCTGTTATAACTCTGTTTATATTGTGTTCAAATGTATTGATTTACCGTCTGACTTTATCCAGGGCTCATGGGTTTCTCAAGGGCAGGCATTCTTCCATTTGAAGAAAAAAATGTGTAAACTGGAGTTATTTATTTTTCTACGATTTGTCCCATTTGTGTTAATAAACAGCGAGGAAATTGCTTTGGGGTGAACATGCTGTGTGTGTCCTCACATGGACATGTCAGTGTGTTCTCGAGTTTGAGATGTCATGGGGTGTAGGGGGGGAGTGGTTGGGGGCTGGGGCTTGTGGGTGATGGTGGCTGTGTGTTCCTGTGGGGGGACATGGTCTGGGACTATGTTTCTCTCGGACTGTGTATTGAGCATGTGCCTACACTCAATGCGTAGTCACCAATGAGATTTGGTGGCCATCAGTCCCTGACTGAGTGAAGGAGTGGCCCTACCCAGCCCATGTGTGTGTGCCTGGATTGGGGATGCTGCAATCTGCTGTGGCCCAATGGGTGCTGTGTTCCTGTCCCTGGTTTGCCTCCCTCTCCAGGTTTCCTTGCTGATCCACGTCACCATCTGTCTGAAGTCCATGGCCCTCCTGGGCAGGTGGACTCCAGGTGACTGCATCTAAGGTCCAAGCGAGCAGCAATTACCATGTCTCCATCCCTGAGTCTGGGCCCCTGCAGAGATGCAAGGGTGTGGCTTCTGTGTCCTTGAGGTCAAGGACCTGGGAAGGTAGCAGCTGGAGATTAGATTTCACAAGGTCCTGGAAGGAAAAGAGGGAGAAGGATCCAGATTTGGTCTGGGGCAGGGCCAGGCCAAGGTCCAGGGTCTCAAAATCATTATAAGAATACTCATAATAGCTTTTATTTATTTATTTATTTATTTATTTATTTATTTATTTATTTTTAAAATATATTTTTATTGATTTCAGAGAAGAAGAAGAGAGAGATAGAAACATCAATGATGAGAGAGAATCATTGATCAGCTGCCTCCTGCATACCCCCTACTAGGGATCGAGCCCGAAACTCAGGCATATGTCCTGAACGGAATCAAACCTGTGACTCTTCAGTTCGCAGCCTGATGCTCTATCCAATGAGCAAAACTCACTAGACAATAGCTCCTATTTATTAAGCAAGTACCATGTGCTAGGCAGTATATTCCATGCTTTATATATTTATATTAGAGGCCCGGTGCACAAAATTCATGCACCGGGGGTGGTGTCCCTCAGCCCGGATGGCGAGAGGGCACAGGCCAGACCAAGGGACCCCACCAGTGCATGGTTGGGGCCAGGGAGGGATGTGGGAAGTTGACCAGCAGGCGAAGGACCATGGGAGGGCTCCTGTAGCTCAGTCCCAATTGGCCAGAACCCAGCAGCAAGCTAACCTACTGGTGGAGCATCTAGGTGGTCAGGGTACATCATAGTGACTATTGACCAATTGACTATTTGACCCCTGGTGGTTAGTGCACATCATAGCAAGTGGTCGAGCAGCCTTAGCATATTATGCTTTGATTGGTTGAATGGCCAACCAGATGACCAAACACTTAGCATATTAGTCTTTTATTATATAGGATTTATGCTGTTATCTTATTCAATATTACATATTAAGTACTTTTTATGTTACATTTATAAATAACAATTATGTGGATTATTCATGTTTATGAATATTTTATTATTTAGCTATAAATTACTATGTAATAGAAGTGATTTTACAGGATCATATTCTATTTCTATTATCATATTTTATTACCCCATGGAAGGTAGGAGGAAACTGAAAATCAGAGAGGCGAGTTCACTTACCGAAGGTCACACAGCAAGCAATTCCACACAGCAAGGTGACAGAGTCAAATTTGAACCCATTTCTGTGGTCCAGCCTTTGGCTTTTAATCACTGTATTACCCTGGCCAAGGTGGGAGACAGCATGTGAGGCGACCAGTAGGGAGGGAGTCTTAGCTGAGTGACTGGATGATAGCGAATCGCTGTAGGTGTTGTGTTGCGCTGATTACATTTATTGAGACCTTATTGGGTGCCAGGCTGTCACGATAATGACGATGCCACATGCTCCTATGGCACTTAGTGGGCCCCACTGTAAGTGCTGTTATGTGGATCGGTCCCCTTACTCCTTGCACCAGCGCTCTGAGGTGGGTACCACCATTGTCTCCATGAGGCCCGTGGTGGAAGCATGTGCAGAACTCGTGGAGGAGCTGGGATTTGGTGCCAGGCTTTCCTTTTGCTCTCGAACTTCCCATTATCCCTTAAAGTCCTCACAACAGCCCTATAGCGTAGGAAGAATTATTACCATTTTACAGATGAGGAAACTGAGGCCCAGACTTGCACTCACCCACAGAACCACAGACTTGTGCTATTGTCTGTCTGAGCAGCTCACCCACCCTTGACCCTGTACTTCTCTGGCAGGAGACCAGGAATGTCAAAGAGCCTCTGAAGGGCCTGGGCCAGGCTCCCAGGGCCCGGGGCCCTGTCCCATCCTGAGATCCCAGGCTCCCTGCCCTTCCTGTCTTGCTCCCTGCTTTTTCCTTTGGCTTATAAGGTGCTGGGTAGGCCAGGTTTCAGCATCGCAGGCCAGAAACAAGGATGGGCTGCACTGGGGCCAAACACGAGTCCGCAAATAGGAGGCCACGCGCTGGTTCCAGACGTGTGATGGGATCATCCTTCCTGGCCAAAATTCCCCTTTCTACACAAAAGGCCAAAAAGCTAATTTCAGCGAAATGTGCCGATTGGTAAGCACTCAATGTGTATTACAAGAATTGTCTCTTTTCTCTTGCATTACACTTTTGGTTTTGTTTGTTTGTTTGTTTGCTGCTAAATTTGTATACAATTCGATAGATCCTATTTATTTTATAGATCAAGATCTCCAGCCTCGTGGGAAATCGAACTCCTAGGAAGTGGTAGTGCGGTGGCAGGCTCTCTGCCCTCCCTTCCCCTCCTAGGCTTATCCTTCTAGGGCAGCGGTTCTCAACCTTCCTAATGCCGCGGCCCTTTAATACTGTTCCTCATGTTGTGTGACCCCCAATTTCATTGTTACAAATTGAACATAATTAAAGCCTAGTGATTAATCACAAAACAATATGTAATTGTATGTGTGTTTTCCGATGGTCTTAGGCGACCCCTGTGAAAGGGTCGTTCGACCCCAAAAGGGGTCGCAACCCACAGGCTGGTGACCCAAAGGTTGAGAATCTTGTCAGTTTGTAAGCACTCTTTTCCTTTCTAGCTATTTTCCCCAAGTCTTTGCACATTGCCTTGCAATGTATTGTGTGGTGTTTTTTTAAAATTGATTTTCTGGAGAGAGAAGGGAAAGGGAGAGAGAAAGAGAAACATAGATGTGAGAGCGAACATAGATTGGCTGCCTCCTGCGTGCCCCCCACAGGGGACTGAACCTACAGCCCCATAATCCCTCCCCCCCCGAACTCAGACCCAGCAGCAAGCTAACCTACTGACTGGAGCGCCTGCCCCGGTGGCCAGGGCATGTCAAGGTGACTGGCTGACCAGTGACTCTCAGGGACTGGAACCAGCAGCTTTCCCTGCACCGGACCAGGCCCAACCACTGAGCCACACCCACCAGCGGGCCTTGCAAGGTTTTCCTTCTTTGCTTTTTATAAATAGATATTTCTATTGGTTTCAGAGAAGAAGGGAGAGAGAAGATAGAAAGGTCAATGGTGAGAGTGAGTCACTGATCGGCTGCCGTCTGCAGGACCCCCAGCCTGCACCTGGCCATGTGCCTTGACCTGCAATCCAACTGTGACCTCCTGGTTCATAGGCCCACGCTCAACCACTGAGTCACACTGGCCGGGCTGTAATGGCTTTAAGTGTTACACAATAGGCCTGTCTCCTATTTCACAGGTTCTGGCTTTTGAACTTGGTCAGGAAGGCCTCCCACTCCTGAGTGAAGGCGCTCTTCCCTGTCCCTCCGCCTGCACCCCCTTCACCCGCCCCCCGGCCCACATCTCCAGCTTCTACTTTCCCAAGGTCTTGAGACCTGCCCCGCCTGAAGGCCCAGCCCCCCTCCACTTCCCCCTCCCTCAGCCTCTCCTGTTGAAGGAGGTGGGGTGAGGTGGGGTGTTTCATTCCTGGTCAGTTTGGAAGAGCTCTTCCTGCCCAGCCTATTAACTCTGTTCCCCTCTGTGGCAGTGACCTACCCTCAAGTCCTGTGTATAGACATAAACTGCTATGTTTCATACAAATATGTCCATCCTGTATTTTTCCTTGTGGGTTTGCGACCAGGACCAGGAAGGGCTCCCCCTCCGCCTCCCCCGCAGAGTCCTAATCTCGCAGCTTGTCCCTTCCCACGGGTCAGGAGCATAAAAGCGCTCAGGGGTGCAGCCCTGCAGCGTCACCATGGCCCCGCTGTGCCCACTGCTGCTGGCACTGGCCCTGGTGGCCATCCCCGGTGTCCGAGGCGCCTGCCCGGCAGCTGCTGACCTGAAGAACCCCGATGGGACACGGACGTGCGCCAAGGTCTATGACAAGAGCGACCCATATTATGAGAACTGCTGCCAAGGTGCGGAGCTGTCCATAGGGCCAGACACCGACCTGCCCTTCCTGCCCTATGACTGGAGGAACGTCATCTCCTCACTTGTGGTGGCCCCCCGCTGTGAGCTCACGGTGTGGTCCCGAAGAGGCAAGGGTGGCAAAACTCGCAAGTTCAAGTCAGGCACCTACCCGCGCCTTGAAGAGTACCGCAGGGGCATCTTTGGCCACTGGTCCAACGCCATCGCCTCCATCTACTGCAGGTGCCCTCCTGTTCCCGTTCCAGTGCGCACATCCGCTTCCACAGCACAGAACCCAGCCCCACCACCACCCGACCTTCAGTTTGCCCAGACCCCTGAGTCCCTGACCCAAACTGTGAATCCCTAGACCCATCCTGGAGGCCCCTTCTCACCCACATCCCTCCCCCAAGCCCATGCCCCTTGGATCTCTCAGACCAGTTCTGGGATTCTCACACTCAGAAGTGATGCAACCCCCTCCATTTAGGGAGCCCACCCACAACCTTCCTGAACCCCGACCTGCCTACCCACAGCTGCACTGTCCAGGGAGGGCCACTAACTCCTGAGCTGCCCAGTCTAGCTTGGGATGTGGAGCCATTGATCGCCTCACCCTGGAGTCCCAGAACCAAAGCCAGTTCTTCCTTCTCCCCAAATCGTCAGATCTCAGAGCTCCTTCGGGCTTCCCAGACTCTACATCTGACCCAGACTTCAAGACCCCAGACTCATATCTGGGGACACCCTGTCTGGCCCTTATGCTCCCTAACCACTCACACCTTCTAGGACAGCCTCAAGACCAGGACCCAGTCCCAGCATCCTTGGGAAGGTTCTGGAGCATTTGGAGCCCTGAGCCCACCCTGCACTCACATATGCAAACTCGCTGACTTGGGACCCTAAGTCTAGCCATAGTAGCCTCCAAACCACCACACCCGCCCACCCCCCAAGAGCTCAAGGAGCCCCCCGCTCCTGAAGTGGGAGCCCAGCCCAGCCCAGCCCAGCCCAGCCCACACCTTATCTCAGGTTCTAGAGCTCCCCAAGCCATAGATCTTTGAGCCCCTGGCACTTCCTGGTGATAAGTTTTTATTCTGTTGCAGGTGCTACTGATACCTCAGAGGCCCCTCATCTCCAGCCCCTACAGAAGGAGGAGCCCCTCACCCAGCCTTGTCCCTGGGGCCAGCTGAGGACCCCAAGTCCCAAACAAGAGAGCTTTCTCCCTGCCCCCTTCCCACCCTGCTTTCCCTGCAATACAGTCCTTATGAAGTTGCCCCTGTCTGCCATCTGCTTGTGCTTGGGACCCAAGACCACCCAGGATGGGGAGACAGCAGGGTGGTCATGCCAGGATCAGCCCTACCTGGGGCAGTGCTGTGATTGGGGGTGCACCCATAGATTCTGACATGGATTTAGGTGTGCACAAAGACACACGCCCACAGGAAGCATGTGTGGCATGCAATGGCACCGCTGCTGATAATTAGACATTGACATGCTTCCCAGACCTTTTGGTGCACAGCCCTTCCCTGAGAGATCCCAGCTGCTCTGGCCTGCCAGGGACCTCCAGTCTCAGGATTCATGCATGAGACAACAGGAGGCCTTCAAGGACCAGCTCAGGCCAGGCCAGGGTCTGTTGTGAGATCAGGCCAGAGCCTAGGACTTATGGGTAGTTCAATCCTTCAACCCTCCCCTCCCCTACACATGGAAGACACTTTAGTGCAAATTTGCATATTGCTGCAAATGTGACTTTGCAACCTATTCTCACCCCCACCCCCAGGGATGGGGCCCTTGATGGATACCTGGGTTTGGGGGCTCTTAGGAGAAGGTAAAGAAGAGAATTGTGGGTGTTGGGGAAGGAAAGATATGGGGACAGCTCATGGGGAAGAAAAACTTGGGGTTAGATGGAGGAGGAGAATTCGGGGGGATTCTGAGAGCTAAGAAATGTGGGGGAAAGAGGTAGGTGGAGATGCTAAGAGACCATAAGGTGGGCGTATGTGAACAGATCAGAGGTCAAGGGAGGCGTCGGAGGTGGAGGAGGTGTGAGGTGCTGGAGGATCACAGAGCAGAGGGTGTGTGTGTGGGCTGGGAGCTCAGCGAAGTTCTATGGAGCAAAGATGGCAAAATACTCAGAATCCTTGGGCACAGGTGTTTCCTGGTTTAGTCAACAAGGGTTTATTGAGCACCTACTATCTGTGGAGCACTGCCTCGGGAAGACATGGTCCCTGCCCTCCTGGAGCCCCGAGAGTGCAGGGGAAATGCCAAAGATTCAGAAGTTCTGGGGGCGGGGGGGGGGGGGGGGGACGGGAGGGCGATGAAGTCAGACACTCAGGATGAGACAAGGGGTCAAAACAGCCAGTCACTCCCTGAACTGCACAGACACGGAGGAGTCAGTCACCCTTGTTCGCCGCAGCCCACCAGCCTCCATGCGGTTCTTTGTCTTGTGCAGGAAGTGGACAAAACGCACACCAGGGCCATACTGGCGGAATACGTGGGACACCTGTGGCAGCAGCGGGTCAGAAAGAAGTCCTTATTAGGGACCTATGGGCTCGGCTCTCCCTCCTCCTCCCTCTGTGAGGTCTTGGGACGGGTCTGGGTTGGCAGCTGGGGCAGGGAGTCTCACCTGGACCCAGCGGCCAGGAGGGCCCCTCCCAGAGGTCCGGGGGGCCACATGGTGCTGAGCAATGATGGTGTGACGGTCAGCTGCCAGCAGCCAGACGTGCAACTCATAGACACACACATCCAGCCGGCTGTCCTCAAACCTGGGGGTGGGGGGAAGGCCTTCAGCTGCCACCTCAGACCCAACATCCCCACCCCAATGTCTTGCCCCAATCACCATTTAGCACCACTCACTGACACCCCCCTGTGCCCCTGGACTGGCTGGTGCTGGCAACACAGCCCCTGCCCCACCTCTTGGGATTCATAGTCCAGCGGGGAGGCAGTGACCAGCAGGAATAGTCAGGACCAGCATGGGGGCTGGTCAGGGAAGGCTTCCCGGTGGAGCCATGTGTAACTGACTCCTGAAGGACAAGGACGAATTGCCCTGAGAAAGACAAGCATCTGAAGAGGAAAGAACAGCCTTGGTCCTGGCACATTTCAAAACCTGAAGGTGTCCGAGAGAAGGGGCCACAGAGGTGGGCAGGGCTGGGTCCTGCAGGGACAGGAGAGTCCTGGTGGGAGGCTCAGACCAAAGGGGAGGGCGGGGCGGGGTTGTGCTTTGGGGAGCCCCTGTGTGCACCCTGGTGGGGGGAGGCACATACCAGTCCATGACAGTAATGTCTGGCTGCTCATCATCAAGAAGCTCCTCCCACAGGCCCTCGGCCAGCAGATCCACACACTGATGCTTCACCGTCCAGCTGTGAGAGAGGGCACAGGGGAGGCGGGCATTCTTGGGCATCTCCCAGGCCAGCCTGACCCCAGGGAGCAGGAAACCTGATCACAGCACCCTCATATCCAGGGGACCCCGGTATGGGCGCTGGGCCCTCACTGGGCACCTTATAGTCTCAGTTCCCATCACCCTCTTGGCAGGCGATGCATTCTGAACCCTGTGTTGAGGTGGGTAAACCGAGGCTCAAGAAGGGAAGTGAGTTCCCCAATGTCAAGCGCAAAGAAGCTCTGGCCCAGGGTGACTCTCAGCCCCTGAGTTACACCATCTCACCCGCTGCCCAGAAGCGGGGCTCAGATTCTCGGGGCCTGGGGACTCGCCTCCTCCCAGGGGAAGGGCTCAGCAGAGGAACAATAATAGCTGCTACTTGTGAACACCTACTATGTGTCAGCCAGACCTGGCCAAAGCCTGTGCTGTGTGTTAGGGGCATTCTCTGGGCAGGTGACTAACTCTGTGTTTACAGAGCAAGAAACTGAGGCCCAGAGAGGCAAAGTCATTTTCTCCAGGTCCCACAGCAAGGAAGGCTGGAGGAGGGAATCCATCGCAGGCCCGGGCCTGGCCACTCACCTGCAGCTGTGCTGGAGCTGCTCTGTCCTAATGTACCACCCACGGAAGTTACCTGCCAGGTGGAGGAGCAAAGGGTTAGAAAGCACAGAGTGGCGGGTGCCCTCCCCTGGGGACCAGCCCCCAAGCACTCACCCAGCGTCTCCAGGGGCTGCCGAGTGGGGCCAGTAGGGGGCGCTGGCTCATAAATGTTGATGCCTGAAATGGGCAGGTGATACACAGGGCCTCAGGACTGCTGGAGCTGCCCCTGTCCACCCTCTCCCTGCACCCTACCCCCAGGGCCCCTCTGAAGGGCAGGAAGCTGTGCCATCCACCAGGCCAGACCAGTCTGGCAGGGGTGAGTGAGCCAGGGCCCAGGGAGAGCCCTGAGAATGTCCTGGGGGAGAGGGACCAGGTGCGTTCTGGTGAGGCAGAGACAGAGGGACAGGGGGGCACCAAGAAAAAGGCATTTAGAATATAGGTAGAGGGAGGAGGGAGGAGCAGGGCGGGGGGGGGGGGGGGCGGGGGGGGAACGGGGAGCAGGAGGAAGGGAGTGAGCCGGTGACAAGAGACGCAGGGAGAGCTAGAGACACATGGCACAGAAGGAGAGAGTCAGGGATACCAGGCAGGACAGAGCCTCAAGCGGACAGACAGAGGTACAAATAACAGAGACAAAGGCACAGAAACAGGGATAGAGAGACAAGGGAACTGATGGAAGAAGAGCAGACGGTCTGGGTAAGCAGCGCTGGGGAAGAAGCTGGGGCTGGCGGCACGGGCACCTTCGGGGTTGGGCGAGCGCAGCAGGTTGCGGTAGAGCGGCCGCCGCAGGAAGAGCAGCTTCCAGGTGAGGCCCGGCGGCAGCTCCAGGTTCGCGCCCGGCGGCCCCCACTCCTGCAGCAGCAACTGCCGCGCGTGGGCCTCCGACGGCTCCTCTGCCGGGGACACACCGGGGCTCTCGGGGGTAGCGGGCGACGGCGGCGACTGCAGTGGAGGTGGCGACGGTGGCGAGGGCGGCTCCCGGGGGCTCTGGGGGCTGGCGGGCTCCTCGGTATCCATCCGGGCGCCGAGCTCGCGTCCCTCCCGCACCTCTTCCATCCTGGCGACTGTCTGGGCTCCTCCGCAGGGCTCGGGGTAACTGGGTCGGGGGGGCGGGGCTCTCCAGCTGAAATTAAAGAGAGGGGTGTGTAGTGGGAAGGATCTGGGCCCCCAGGCACTCCTCCCTCGGACAGAGGAGGCCAGGTCCCCAGCCCCTCCTCCCTCAGAGCCAGGAGTTCAGGCCCCCAGCGCCCGCCTTGTCTCAGACCAGGAAGCCAGGTCTTTAGCCCCTCCTCAGTTTCCCAAGCCTCCTGCTCAATTCCCTACAGAACTGACTCTGGGATTGGGGTGTGACAAGGGAGCTAGTGCTCTCTAAGGAGGCCCATCCACCTCATTAAGATCCCGCAGGGCCCTAGCTGGTTTGGCTCAGTGGATAGAGCGTCGGTCTGCGGACTGAAGGGTTCTCCTGGGTTCGATTCCAGTCAAGGGCACCTGCCTGGGTTGCAGGCTCAATCCCCAGTAGGGAGCGTGCAGGAGGCAGCCAATCAGTGATTCTTTCTCATCATTGATGTTTCTCTCTCTCTCCCTCTCCATTCCTCTCTGAAATCAATAAACACATATATTTTTTAAAAAAAGATCCAGCTTGGCAGGAGGTTAATTAATGAAGACCCCCTCTTTCAGCCTCTCCTCTCAGCAGAGGGGGTGTCAGCAGAGGGGGAGGTCCTGCTCTGTCCCCACCTGGGACACTCCCTTGGGACCCTGACATTTCCTGTTCTGGAAACCAAGGTGTGGGGTGCAGGGCAGAAAGAGACCTATAGCCAGAGATAGGGAGTCACCCACCTGGGGCTCCCTGGTGAGACACTGAGCTAGCAGCAGAGACGGAAGCAGCAACACTATCTGGGTTTTTGGGGTGCCAGCACTCCTTCCTGGGGTGAGGCAGGCAACACAGACTGCCAAAGCCTCCTCCCTCAGAGGAGGAGTTTGGAGTGAGGGATGGGACGATGGCGGGGGCAGGAGGTGGGGGTGTGGAGGAAGTGGGATGGTGGAGAAACCTGTAGGGCCAGATGCCCACGGCCACATCCTGCCCACGCCACATCCCACACCAGGTAAGCACAGGCGCAGAGTTCCACACCGATTCCCAGTGTCAGCCAGTGCTTTCTGCTTGCTGGGTGCCCGTCTAAGTGCGCACACGTTCATTTCATCCTCTAAGACCAGAGGAGGGAGGTGCTGCTATTATAAGGAAAGGTAACAGCAAACGTGTTGTGGAGCTGTGTGCGCCCCATGTGCTCCAGTCCCATCTCACATACACACCAACCCTATGTGGGTGCTGTTGCTACCCCTGTTTCACAGATGAGGAAACAGAGGCCACCCTCACAGGCCTGGGAGCTTCCTGCCCCAGATTGGAGGGGAAACATGCTGCAGACACTGGGAACTGAGTTCACACCCCAGTGATGACACTCATGCCACTGAGGGCTGACTGTGGCAGGGATTGTTCTAGCTCTTCAGCTGGGTGATTAATTCGATCTCCGCATCCTCCCCAGGAAGCAGATACTAAACTCATTTTGCAGATGAGGAAACTGAGACACAGTGAGGTCTAGTAACTCACACAAGGTTGCACAGCTGGTATGTGGCACGTTGGATACACAGAACTTCAGAAAAGATACACAGGGACACAGATTCAAATCACACCCAAGGAGAAACACTGGTCCACACAGAAGCAGACAGGAGATAATAATGGTCATATTTTTTGTCTGTCTTTAACTCACTGAACTTCTCAACAACCTCAGGAAGCAGAAACTGATTCATTCACAGATCAGAGGCAGAGAGGTGAAGCAACCTGTCCTGGGAAAGTTGGGAATTAGCCAATTTAGGATACTGGCAGGCAGAAAGGACCCATGGGAGGGGACAAACCAACTAATACATACTGGCGCCTGGCCCCACAGCACATGCACGTTCCCAGGAGACTTCCAGACAAGCACTCAAAGAGCCCAGGACAACCCAACAACCAGAGACTCTCCCCAGGCATCACAAACCCACACCCTATCTGGTGGCTTGCCCACCTGTCCTCATTGGAGGAGGAGGAGGACGAGGAGGAGAAAGAAGAGTGTGGCCAGTAGAGTCAGAGCTGTCTCCAGGTTAGAATCCAGGGCAGGGCAGGGAGTTGCCGGGAGCCAGGCACCTAAAAATAAGGGCAAGGGAGAGTCTGCAAAGTGGAAATGGACACCCCCTCCTCTGCCTGCTCCCTGCCTGCCATGGTTTCCACATTATTCCTTCCCTGAGAGTGGACACACACACACACACACACACACACACACACACACACACACACGGTGGCAGCCAGGGGGTGCTACGAAAGCCCAGAGCCAACCACTCACTCCCCCACTTACACCTGCCATGACTCCCCAGTGTCCTCAGCACGTCCCAGGTTTCTGGCAGGCATCCGAGGCCCCGGATCCCTGGGCCCCCGCCTCTGTGATCTGTTCTCTCTCATCTCAGGGATTTTGCTCCTGAAGTTCTTCCCACCTGGAATGCCCTGCCTTCTCCCCACACCCCCACACTTAGAGGTTCCCAAGCATTAAGGCACCTCAGATTCACCCAGGGAGCTTGTTTAAAATGTGTATTTTCAAGCCCTCCTCCCAAGAGTCCTACTCAGTCCCTCTGCCCCCAGAATCTAAAAGTCAAGAAGCGAGAACCAAGATGGCAGCATAGGTAAACACCTATACTTGCTGCCTTTCACAACCACATCAAAATTACAACTAAAAGGCAGAACAACTACCACCCAGAACCACGGGAAAGCTGACGGAGTGGAAGTCCCACAACTAGAGAGGTGAAGAAAGTGCATTGAGACTGGTAAGAGGTGTGGAGGCGCGGCAAGTGCTGGCACCTGGATGTGCTGCTCTTTTAATGAGGAGGGAGATACAAGCTCTCGCTTGCTCTGAACTCCAGTTCCAGGCAAGACTCTGGGGGACCCAGACACATATGGAGAGAAACTGGACTGTCTGGCATCGGAACAGGAATGCGAGGGTGGCTTTCTCTCAGAAGTGCTCACAGCGATCGTTGTGCCTGCACGGGGGCGTGGGACACGGAGACCCGGGGGCCTCTCCAGTGCAGGGCTGACTGGCAGCCATTGTGTTTGCTCCGCCCTGGTGATTCCCGAGACCCCTCCCCACCCAACTTAGGATCCCACCCAAGCTGTGTGCATCAGCTTTTGCATATGAATGTCCTGTCCTCTCTCCACCTAAAACCTGTCAAACTGCAGCTGGGTCAGAGAGCTCCAGAGCTTCCAAAAGAAGGCCCAAGGCTGGCAGCAGCATCCTGCCTTGCTTCACAGCTGAGCCTCATCTGGGCATTTCCAAACCCCATACAAAGAGTAGGAATCTGCAGATGTCTCTGTAGCTCCTGCTGGGCAGCCCCAGACAGTGGCTGACTTTGCACCTTTTTGGAGATCCAAGAGCCAGTGTACCCAGTGGTCAGAGTGAGACCATACTGGATTACAACTCTTCACATCCATAACAGAAAGACTCAAGGGGCAGACTCAGTGAGCACCAAAGCCTCACTGAAGCAAGTCCTGCCCCATAAGGGTGTCTCCTGCACAACAGATCTTCCAGTGTAGACACAGCTGGTCATCACAGCCAATTGGCCTGGAGGTCAATTCCTCCCAATGACACCAACAGCAATCAAGGGTTAACTAAAACCAGACTGTGCACACAGCCCACAAAGGGTGCACCAAGAGCGTCCACCTCAGGTGACTGGGGAGGATGAGCCACTGGGCCCTATAGGACACCTACCACACAAGGCCACTCTATCAACACAAGGAGACTTAGTAGCTACCCAGTACATAGAAACAAACATAAGGAAGCAGCCAAAATGTGGAGACAAAGAAATAAGTCACAAATGAAAGAAACGGATGAAAGCAAAATACTGGATATAGCGTTCAAAACCATGGATATAATGTTACTCAAGAATCTTATAGAAACCTCCAAGAAATTTAGTGAGACCCTCAAGGATATGAAAAAGGACCAATCAGAAATTAAGCATACACTGACTGAAATAAAGAATAATATACAGAGATCCAAAAGCAGAGTAGAGGATTCCAAGAATCAAGGCAAAGATTTGAAATATGAAGAAGCAAAAACACCCAACCAGAAAAGCAAAAAGAATCCAAAAATATGAAGATAGTGTAAGGAGCCTCTGGGACAACTTCAAACGTACCAACATCCGAATGATAGGGGTGCCAGAAGAAGAGAGAGAGCAAGATATTGAAAACCTATTTGAAGAAATAATGACAGAAAATTTCCCCTACCTGGTGAAAGAAATAGACTTACAAGTCCAGGAATCGCAAAGAACCCCTAACAAGAGGAATCCAAAGAGGACCACACCAAGACGCACCATAATTAAAATGCCAAGAGCAAAAGACAAAGAAAGAATTTTAAAAGCAGCAAGAGAAAAACAGTTAGTTACCTACAAGGGAGTACCCATACGACTGTCAGCTGATTTCTCAACAGAAACTATACAGGCCAGAAGGGAGTGGCAAGAAATATATAAAGTGATGAATACCAAGAACCTACAACCAAGATTACTTTATCCAGCAAAGCTATCATTCAGAATTGAAGGTCAGATAAAGAGCTTCACAGATAAGAAAAAGCTAAAGGAGTTCATCACCACCAACCAGTATTATATGAAATGCTGAAGGGTATTCTTTAAGAAGAGGAAGAAGAAGAAAAAGGTAAAGCTAAAAAATTATGAACAACAAAGTGACAACAAATACATATCTATCAACAAGTGAACCTAAAAATCAAATGAATAAAAAACCTGATGAACAGAACAGACTGATGAATGGAATAGAATCAGGGGCATGGAAAGGGAGCAGAATGACAATTCTCGGGGTGGGTGGGGTAGGGGTTGTGGGGGGTGAGGGAAAATATTGGACAAAGAGCTTACACCTATGGACGAGGTCAGTGGGGGAAAGCGGGGGGGGGGGGGGGAAGGCTTGGAGTGGGGTGGGAACCGGGTGGAGGGGAGCAATGGGAGAAAAAAAGAGGAACATTTGTAATAATCTCAACAATAAAGATTAAATAAATAAATAAATAAATGTTAAGAAGCTCACATCCCACATTCCTACTATGAGAAACATTTTTACCTAATTCTGAGGGATCCAGGAGAACAACCAGAGCCCTGCAAAGCCCAGCGGCTTTCAGCATTACAGCTCAAAGGTCTCCTTTCCAAACAGGCCTGTTGACCAAATGGCACCCTTCCCCAAAAGCCACCCTTCATACATCAGGAAACAATAAAAAACATGAGTGATGGTGCGACCACTTGGGAAACAATTTTATAATTTCTTTTAAAACTGATTTTCCTCCCACCCTATAACCCGGCAATCCTGCTCCTAGGATTTAGCCTCAAATGAAAGGCCATGTCCCCACAAAGACCTGCACCCAACACTTTCTAAAAATACAGTTGACCCTTATACAACATGGGTTTGAATTGTGTGGGTCCACTTATAGGCAGGTTTTTTAAATCAATACTGAAAATTTATTTTCTCTTCCTTATAATTTTCTTAATAACATTGTCTTTTCTCTAGCTTATTTCATTGTAAGAATATAGTACACTAGAGACCTGGCGCACGAATTCGTGAGAGGGTGGGGTTCCTTGGCCTGGCCAGCAATCGGGGCCGATTGGAGGCCATCTCGCCCAGTCTCGATGGGGGCAGATGGGGGCTGGCAGGCCGAGGAGGGACTGTGGGAGGGCTCCAGGATGTGTCCGGCCCTCTCACCCAGTCCCTGTCGGCCAGACCCCAGCAGCAAGCTAACCTACTGGTCGGAATGTCTGTCCCTTGGTGGCCAATGCACGTCATAGCAACTGGTTGAGCGGTCGACTCAACTGTTGACCGATTGGTCAGACACTTAGCTTATTACACTTTTATTATATAGGATAATACATATTACATACAAAATATGTGT